GGTGGATTCATTCCGTCGCTTCCGTGCGATTCGTCGATCTCATCGCCTCGTTGGCTCGTCGGTTTATGCTGAGCTATGCTAGGGGACCTATAAGCAATTTTATATGCCTACAGCTGTGTTCACAATGTCTGATGATAAAAGCCCAGGACCTGATGGATTCAGTGCATCTTTTTTCAAATCAGCCTGGAATATTATTGAAGATGAAATGTGTAAAGCTATAGAGGAATTCTTCTGTACTAGTAAGCTTCTTGGTGTCTATAACTCCACCTCCATTAATCTGGTGCCTAAAATCCTCAATCCTAGATCACCAGTTGATTATAGGCCAATATCCTGCTGCAACTGTATATACAAGGTTATTTCTAAAATCATTACTGCAAGAATTCAGAAAGTAATTGGCTTCTTGATTGATGATGCACAAAGTGCATTTGTTAAAGGAAGACTTGTTTCCAACAACATTCTGCTAGCTCATGAACTTCTTAAACATTATGGTAGAAGACATGTTTCTCCAAGAGCTGTTCTCAATGTTGATCTGAGAAAAGCGTTTGACACGATAAGCTGGGGCTTCATCAGACACATGCTAACAGGTTTGGGATTTCCTAATAACATGATCAAATGGGTAATGGAATGTATCTCTACTCCTAGATTCTCACTGTCACTAAATGGCTCCTTACATGGGTACTTTGAGGGAGCTAGAGGACTGAGGCAAGGTGATCCATTATCTCCCTTCTTGTTTGTATTAGAAATGGAATATCTATCTAGGAAACTCAAGACTCTCAGCACAGAAGTATCACCTAAAATGTGCTAAGATGAAGATTACTCACTTGATATTTGCCGAAGATTTGCTACTATTCTGTAAAGCTGATTTGGACTCAATAGCAAAATTGCATAGCTGTATCCAAGAATTCAGTAGTGTCTCAGGTCTGGAGGCAAACTCTAGCAAAAGTTCAATTCTCATGAGTGGTATTGATGATAATTCAAAGGCACAAATATGCACATTCTTAAATTTCTCAGAGGGCTCCTTGCCAATAAGGTATTTAGGCATGCCGCTGATCTCAAAGAGACTCTCATTCCTTGACTGCTCACCATTGATATCCAAAATTTTAGATCAATTCCAATCTTGGCAGAATAGGAAGAATCTGTCATATGCTGGGAGAATTCAACTCATAAAATCTGTCATTCTGGGAATCCAAATATATTGGACAAGCAACTATATCCTACCGATCAAGGTTTTGGAAATAATTGCTAAGATGTGCTCTGTTTTCTTATGGGGGAACAAAGTTCATCTGGTTTCCTGGACAGAGGTTTGCAAAGATAAGAAAGCAGGAGGATTGAGTCTTTTCACAGCCAAAAAATGGAATCAGGCTGCAGGTATTAAGTTGTTATGAATGATACACACCAAAAAAGATTTGTTGTGGATTAAATGGGTTCATGAAAACTATTTACAACATCTGGGGATCTAGCGAATTCAACAAAAGAAGAATGATTCTTGGATGTGGAGGCAGCTCCTAAAGGTGAGGGATTTGGTGATGAGAAGATTTGGAAATGTGGAGAGCATACATAGAGTTCTAAATAGCTGTCATAAAAATGGTAATATTAAAATCTCATCTATATACAATGCTACATCTCAACCTTTAGCTATTGCAAACTGGTCGAATTCAGTTTGGGGGGGCTTGCATTAGCCCAAGCATTCGATGATACCGTGGCTTGCTATTCTTTTGAGGCTCCTGACCAAGGATAGGCTGTGTCGCATGGGGATACCGGATGTCAACCTGAACCAGTGTGTGCTATGCACTGATTCAGTTAATCGCCCTGAATCAAAAAAATATCTTTTTTTAGTGCCAATTCTCATCTTATGTTTGGAATGAGGTGATGGAATGACTAGGCTTTACATGGAGATCGTGTGATTGGGATCATGTGATGAATTGGTACAATAACAACTTGAGAGGACTTGGATTCATGAAGAAGATGAAAAGAATGGTGTTGTCGGCAACAATTTACTGGATATGGAAGGAGAGGAACACAAGAATATTTCAGGAAAAATGCCGAAGACCTGATCAACTTGTGAGGGAGGTGAAGCTTTGAGTCCTGATGAAAGTCTTAAATGAAGATATTCCAGAGCACTTGAGAGGGAAAATTGAAAAGTTGTAATTAATTAGGTGTTTTCTTGTTTGCCAGAGAGTTCTCTGGGTTTTTTGATGTACTCTCATTTCAAAATTTGGAAAAATGAATAATATCTTTTTCATTGACCAAAAAAAAAAATAACGGCATAAAAGCTCTAAAACGTGAAATTAAATTCATAGGTTATATTCCTACAATCATTACTGTGACATGACATCACATCTCATTTTAGTAGCCATATAGCTATTGCTTTTACTCTTCTTTCAAGCTGATCAACTACAAGCAGACAGGGGACAGTTTACATCCTTTCGTTCCTTGATTAAGAAAGAGTTGAAACTAATCTAGTGAAGCAAATCTGATATTCCTATCATCCTATATATTTTTCGTCAACATTTGAAAGGGTTCGAATAAAATTCTACACTTGAAACGCATATGGCGGATTGAAATTAATAAGATTATTGAGCAGATCACAAATGACAAGATAAGATAAAGTAAATGTATATTTATTTGAAAAAGAAAACCCTACAAACGTCTTCTATTCATATATTCAAACCGATTACTTCGAACCTCATTTGAAGGTGAAGAAAACATATGAATTAACCCTAGTCACCAGAGTTAGGGGTTAATAATTTTATATTACAATGCTTTAATAAGAGCACATCATGTTTGTGGATAAAAAATTTGGGTTTTTTTAGTGTGAATTTTACAAAACACACAACAAGTCCAGAAGTTTTTTTTAACCCTCAAACGATTTGAAAATTCACTTAGCCTGCAATAAATTTTGCTAGAAAACTCTAAAAACTAATATCATTAGTCTGACGTGTAACATGCAACTCATGTGCTGTCAAGAGACAAAATACCCATCTTTTAAGGGAAAACCGTTCGCATCCTCTTTTATATTTTCACTCCGAAAACACATTTTTTTCTTCTCTCTCTGTCTCTTTGCTTGTGTTCGCTCTCAAGTTGGAGCCCCCAATCTCCGAAATTAATTTTTGTGATTTCATCTTTCAAGACTCCAAATTCATGGTATGCTATGTAACTCCGTCATGGAGATTAAGTAAAAAATTAGAAAATTTTGGGATTTTATGGATTTCCTATACTTATTAGGGGTTAGGTAAACTTTTGAAACTTTTGACTGGTTAACTGAAACATGCCCAAACTTTTTGGAGTTTTAAGAAATTTAGCTTTTCCTATGAAATTTTACATCATTAATTTTTTTTAAATCCACCGTTAGTCGCATGTATGGTTGAATTTGGCCCCGATTGCTTTTGTATCATCGTAAAATCAGTTTCTACGTACCATGGCAAAAAATCAAACTTCAAAGTACTGTTGAGAATTATAATTATAACTATATAGTCTAATAATTATATCAGGTCATAGTGTGATATACATTTTCATGTCTTTTCCCAAGCAAACACTTTCCTTGCAAACCTTGAATTAAAGAGCGAATTTAAAATAACAAAGAAAGAAAGAAGAAAAACAATCATTATTCGAAAACACACAAAGAAATCATTTCAAATCACATTTATATCATGCAAGTTAAATTCTACCCCTTAATTTGTCTAAAAATATTTATACAACTCAATTAAACCACATCCAAAACAAAGCTTTATAATCATGTCCGCATCACCAAATTACATCTCAAATCCAATCCTACCTCTCTAAGAAAATCCCACACACCCAAAAAGTGTATTATCCACTCCAACCTTTTTACTTTAACCAAACCAAAAGTTACATACATATATCTAACAAGTATCCTATTATCCCCTCCCGCTATACAAATCCTTAATGCAATTCATCACCAGAAAGTAGTACAGTAGAACACAATCACGAAGATAACAATATACCAATTACCAAACCCCTTACAGTGGTTTAACCGCTTTATACCATTTGAACTATTTTATTACTAGTACTTACATTTCCATACATCAAACCATACTAATTAATTACCTTCTTGTTAGTTGAGATATCAAGTGAACGAGTCACATAACAATAAACTAATTAGTACTTTAAATATAGATCGAACAATGAATTTATTGTGATGTGATTTCCACGTGATATCCAACCTACCAAAGACGTAACATCTGAGCCAGGAGGTGTAAGCTACACTAATAGAATAGTTTAAACCTTACCGATCGATATCATATGTACCCCATGGTGATCATCGACCAATTCCGTCTTCCAGAAGAGTTAAGAATTTGAGGAGCAATCGCAAACGATGACCTCAGTCTCGACCTCCCGCTTGTGAAAACTCCGATGGCAGTTGCAAGCTGCACACTGCAGCGCGGCGCTGGTCCCCTCCTCACCTGCAGCCATGAACTCCCTGCACCCATCGACTGCGTAGCCTCCGATGATGGCTGCGTGGTTCTTGCGGCACTCTCTGTACCTCACCACCTTCTCCTTCTTCGCTACCGCTCCGTTGGAATTCGAGGGTTTCATCGGGCGGAGGGAGGGGTTTTTTGGGGTTAAGGATTTCTTTGGGAGGTTGGAGGAGATGTGGATGTAGGAAGAGAAGGAGGAAGTTGGCATGGAGATCGAAGGAAAAGGGTGGGGTGGAGCTTAAAGGGTTAGGAGTCTTTGGTGGGGGTGGCTTTTATACGTGGAAGTGGGGAGAGGTTGAGGGGGATTTATTATGTCAAAATTTCCACTTATATATGTACTTTCTTTATAACAAAATATTGCCTTTGGTTACTTTTGAATAGCTTCTTTTATCAAATATTTTTTCTTTGATGTGTGCATCCGTCTGGCATCATAATGAGGTAGAGTGAAATTAATTTATTTTATAACATTTTATTATTTAGCGAACAAGTGTATATACATCCAAATATCCGTCTGGTCATCCCTCTGGCTTATTTATCGCTCAAGGAGATCACTCACCCATTAAACAGAAAGTGATCATGAATAAAAGTAATGATAACTGCACTATGCTCTACTAATTGAGAGGAACACATTCCTTTTTTTTTCTTTTTTCTTTTTCTCCTTCTTCTCTTTTTTTTTTGGCTTGCAGTACACCAATACATTTCATTTGTGCACCTAGACGAGCTAAAGATAAAATAGATTGAGTAGTTAAATTATTGAAACGATTAATAATTGAAGCTTTTAATTAATTTGTCATGTTTTAATTTCTTATGATAACTACTCTTGCACACTAGACTAGTGCACCAAACAATAGTTATCGAATATGTGATTGACTTCTAGTAAAGTTTTGAAAGAGTTGGTACTATACTCTTAACTTGCCTCCTTAAGGAATATTTTTATGCTCATAATTGATTTTTTGATCATTTCTTATGATAACTCCACTTTTTTCTTTTATAGGGGAACCAGTTTTTTTTTTGGTCAATGAAAAACTTTTATTCATTTCCCAAATGTGAACTTTACATGCTTCAAGATTCTCAGGTTTTGAGAATTCAAACAGGGAACAAAAACAGAAATATCAAAATCTGTACAATTTTAAACAGGACTGATCCAATCAGTTAGATTCCCAGCAATGTTTGGAGAGTTAATGCATATAGTTAGAATGTCAACTTTGATTCTCTTAACCAAGCTCTCCTCAGACTTGAACAATTGCTGAAACATCCTCATATTTCGCTCATACCATATGTGATATATAGTAGCTGATAAAGCTGCTCTCTTGATATTCTGCTTTATACCTTTCTTCCTTAAATTTGTACAATACCAATTAATGATGGAATTCCAAGAACATGATCTCCATTTGAAAAGAAGCCAATCCATGATTTGATTCCATACCTCTTTGGAGAAGGAGCATTCAAAAAATAGATGATCTCGGCTCTCTAAGCATGGACCAGTGCAGAGTTTACATTTGTTTGCATTCACAATTCCCTGCCTTAATAGTCTATCTTGGGTTTGTAATCTGTTATTAACAGCTAACCAACAGATAAATGAGTGCTTTGGATAGGATAAACCTCCCCAGACCATGTTATGCCATGGGACTGAATTTGATGCAGGGGAGAGAGCACTATATATTTCAGCAATTTTGATTTTAGAGCTGTTAGAACTGGCCTTGATCATCTGTTTCAGGTTGTCAACATTACCACTGAGTTCCACAGCCTTGTCCCTAGCTCTCAAAATTTGTTTCCACATCCATAAGTCACCCCTCTTTGCTTGAACTTGCCATACATTACAGTTTTTTAGATATGTCCCATTCACCCATTTAATCCATAAGCCTTCCTTATTAATATGCAAATGCCAAAGAAGCTTAACTGCAGAGGCTAAATTCCATATAGAGGCAGAGAAAATCCCCAATCCTCCTTTTTCCTTGTCCAAGCAAACTTTCTCCCAAGAGACCGCAGGGACTGTTTTAGCTGATTGATCATATTTTCCCCACAAAAAATGTCTGCATAATTCATCAATTTTTTTGAGAACTCTAACAGGTAAGATGTAATTTGAGGTCCAGAAGACTTGAATTCCTAAGATAGAGCTCTTAATAATCTGTAACCTTCCTGCATATGACAATTTCTTGTGATTCTTGCAAGCCTGAAACAGATCAGTAATTTTGTTTAATAGGGGAGCACAATCTGTATAAGAGAGTCTTTTGCATATGAGAGGAACACCAAGATATCTAATGGGCATTGTTCCCTCTGAAAACCCCCAAACAATTGAAGATGGAAGCTTTAACTGGATCTTCAACCCCTCCATAAAAGATTGAGCACTTTGTTGAGTTTGCTTTTAGACCTGAGACTGCACAGAAGTCACTGAAACATTGGTAGAGCTTGTTTACTGAATATAGATCACCTTTAGAAAATAGGAGAAGATCATCAACAAATATCAAATGTGTTATTTGGAATTTCTTGCATTTTGGATGAAATTTAAAGTTTCTGTCCTCTTTCAACAATTCCAATCTTCTTGAGAGATATTCCATGCCTAGGATAAAGAGATAAGGAGAGAGAGGGTCTCCTTGTCTTAGTCCTCTTTCTCCTTTGAAATAACCATGCAAAGCACCATTAAAAGCTATAGAATACTTAGGAGAAGTAATGCAAGCCATAATCCATCCTACATATGCATCAGGAAATCCCAGACCAGTAAGCATCTCTTTGAGGAACCCCCAGTTAATGGTATCAAAAGCCTTTTTGATATCAATATTAAGCATGGCTCTGGGTGATATGTACTTCCTATTGTAATTCTTAGCAAGTTCATGTGCTAATAGAATGTTACTTGATATCTGCCTCCCCTTGACAAAAGCATTCTGAGCTTCATTAACTAGAAAGCCCATCACTGATTTGATCCTGTTTGCCAATATTTTAGAGATGAATTTGTATAAGCAATTACAGCATGCAATAGGTCTAAAGTCAACTGGACTTTTTGGACATTGTATTTTTGGTATCAAAGTGATAGCTGTGGAATTGATCTCCCCCAAAAGTTTCCCAGTTTTGAAGAAGTCCTCTATTGCCAATGATATTTCATCTCCAACAACCCCCCAAGCTGATTTATAGAAGGATATACTATAACCATCAGGCCCTGGGGCTTTGTTTTCAGACATAGAGAAAACAGCTTCTTTGATCTCCTCTCTGGTAACTGGATTTGATAGGGCTCTAGCTTGTGCTTCACTCAAACAGGGGCCATTACTGATTATATTCCTGTCAACATTGGCAGTTGCAGAGTTTGTTCCCATAAGATTCTTATAGAAAGATATAAATTCAGATATAATCTTCTCCTCATCAGTTAATTTTTTCCCCTGCACTGTTATATAGCATCAGAATCCTGTTCTGATGCCTTTTTGATTTGATAACAGAGTGGAAGTAACTAGTGCACCTGTCACCTTGAACACTCCAGAAAATCCTAGCCTTTTGTTGATAAAAGGATAGCTCATAGTCCAACAGTTTGTTGTATGAGATAAAAACAGTTTTTTTCCTGCTTAATAAGTGTTTGATTTATGGGGTCAGAATGAAGATTTGTTTGAGCATCATCAAGAGCCACTTTTGCTCTAAGAACCTGTTCACTGATGTTGCTAAAATGCCTTTTATTTAACTCCTTCAGCTCATTCTTCAGCAGCTTCATTTTAGTATACACAGAGTACATAGCATAACCCTTTACTTTTGTTTGCCATATTCTTGATACAGTAGGCAGAAAACTTTTGTGTTTGGCACACATCTTAAAGAATTTAAAGGGTTTTTTTCCTTTAGCACAATCATCATATATTGATACTAATCCAGGGGAGTGGTCTGAGAAATTCTGCAGCAGATATTCCACATGACTAGAATTATATTTTTGTAACCATGCATCATTAATGAGAGCTCTATCCAGTCTACTCCAGATTCTAGAATGAGCATCTTGTTTATTATTCCAAGTATAGAAGCAACCTTCAGTTTTAAGGTGGGAGAGGTGACAAAAATCAATGAATTCCCTGAACTCACTGGTATCAGCTTCAGAAAGAATAGTCCCCCCTAATTTTTCTTCATTACCAATTATTGCATTGAAATCCCCACACAGTAACTCAGAAAGAATAGTCCCCCCTAATTTTTCTTCATTACCAATTATTGCATTGAAATCCCCACACAGTAACCATGGTGAGTGGCTAACTGTCTGATAAATATGAGTGAGGTTCAACCATAATTCCCTTCTTTTATCCACTTGGTTTTGACCATATATGGAGGAAATTACACAGTCAATTCTCCCATCCAATGATTTGACTTTGCAAGTAATCTGTTGGTCTGATAGGCTTTCAATAAGAACTTCCAGTATATTTGGATCCCATAGTAGAATAATCCTTGCTTTACTGGTGCTGCTTGCATTTGAGACCCATTTCCAATTGACAGAAAGCCTCTTAGCAACAATTGAGATTTTTTCAGCCTTAATTTTGGTTTCAAGTAGAGCTAGGAAAGATAGATGGTATTGTTGTAGATGGTGCTTTACCAAGTGCTGTTTTGAGGATTTGTTCAATCCTCTAACATTCCAAAAGGACCAATTCATATATTTGTCACACCCCCTATCAACAGTAGAGGGATCAATTTCCAGATTTGTGAGCTGAGCAAAAGAATTTCCAATATTTAAGCTCCTGCTTTGCATAAGTCCTTTACCCTTGTAACTAGCCAAATTCCCAGATCTGTATTGATTTTGGCTAATATGTACAATGCTGTTATCAGAACCAACTTTACTGCACAAAGAACTAGATTCCTGAGATGTTTTTCCAGATAAGTGCACAGAATAGACAGGCTGCTGCTCCTGAAGATGCACAACATGCACGGAGCTATTTCCAGTGTCAACAGGACCCCTGCACATATTTAAACCATCAACAGACCTCTGATGCTCCTGAACATGCACAACATGCACGAAACTATTTCCATTGCTACCAGTATCCATGCATATATTCAAATCATCCTGAGGTACACTTTGAGCTTTTACAACATTGCCAATTCCAGTCATAGGTCTTTCCTGAATGTGTTCAGAGTTATTCCCAGTACCTTTGTTGTACATACTCAAATCCACAGGAGTTGAGTATCAGCTGCAGGCTTGATGCCTTGCTTTGGCACCCACTTCTTGTGGACTTTCCTGCACAAAGTGGTATCATGACCCACTAACTTGCAGATATCACACCATTTAGGTTTGAACTCATAGATAACCCTTTGTTTGATCATCATATTATTAGGACCTTGTATAACAATATGATCAAGTAGAGTGGAAGGCATATGTACTTCTACAAGTACTCTAGCATAAGCCAATCTTTGTCTATTAGCTGTTAATTTGTCAGATGCAACAGGTCTACCAATTAAACTAGCTATTTTACTTAGGCTTTTTGAATTCCATAAATTGAGCCTAAGACCTGGAAACTGAATCCATAAAGGATATATGCTGTCATTTATTCTGTCAATTCCATCTTCATTTGACCATTTCTTCAGTAAAAGAGGCCTTGAACCAAAAAACCATGGTCCATTCACAAGTATATCATCCATCTCTGATTGATTCTTGAATTTGAAAAGGAAAACCCCTGGTTTAAGAATACAAATCTCAGGGGTAACCCACCGAGCCCAGATTTTGTGCACAAAATTCTTCATAGCTTTGAATTTAACATTTAACCCCAAAATTTGCCCAATTAAAGAAAACTGCCATATGGCATTGCCTTCATTCCACTCTTCTTCATCAAAAACAACAGCTTCTTTTGAGTTAGGAGCCACAAAACTCAAATTCATCCCAGATCCTAGCTTCCTGTTGTTTGTGAAAAGACTAGCCCAGCTTTTCAGCTTAGCAGGACCTTGATCTTCAGGATCAGGATTAATGGAAGCTTTAGCACTATCAGTCGCTACCAATGGAATAGAGTCATTCCCAAGATTTCCCACAGAATTCAAAATATTCTCATTAAGAGAATCTTTTGCAGATTTGGTATTCTTAACACTATCATTTATAGGGATAGAATCTGGAACAGATTTTACTTCAAGATTCCATGGCGAATTCATAGATCTGTCTAGATTTTTTCCAGGATTCAAAATTGTTGCAAGATTCCGTGCAGAATTTAAAGAACTATCTTGATTACTAGCAGGAATCAGATTCTGATGTTGAAACAAGAGAGGAACAGCTGATTCTACCTCTTCAGCCCAAGATTTTCTCATGGAATTACTTGCGATAGATTGAGAACTTGAAGACATACCTAGCTTTCGATGAGATTGAGGATCAGCTACTCGAGAAGAGAAAACAACTGGACCTGAATCTGAATTCAAGAGATCCGCCATTAAAACTTTCTTCCGCTCTCCCCTTGGACCAGTTGATCCCATTAGATCTGCTATGGATTCTTCATCTTCAACATCAAGAATAGCTTCATCTGATGAAGACAAGCATGGATTCGCAGCTCTTAATCCAATCTCCAAGATTTTCTTCTCATTTTTTCTCTTCTTTTTTGCCATTTTCAAACCTCAGCGGGGGCGCAAGTTAGCAGGAAATCGCCTGCTAACATGCACCAAGGAGTCCGCTCAATCTCATCGAATGATGGATAAGCCACTATCTTATTACTGGCTATTAATTTTTCTAGTGGATGATTATAATTCATTCTAAACCTTGTACTCACCGCACCCTCATGAATAGAACTCATTTCTAATTTGTATTTAAAGAGAAATTACAACCATCCACTACATAAATAAACATCTATAAATTAGATAGTGGTCTCTCCACTATTTTTTGGTAGTGAAGAGCATCTAAATCTATTGGATAGTTAACTATTTGTGTATTGACCAAGTTTGTATATGTTAAGGTAATTTTGCATAGTGGGATTTTTGATTTAATGAAACTTCATATTTTCTTATATGATTGTAAATTAACTATAGATATTATGTGAATGTTATTATATTTAAAAAGTCTTTTTTTTGTCAATGAAACTGAGTTTATTCATTTAACCATTTGGAAGTATAGTACAGCAAAAAAACTCAGATTTTGAGTTATCTACAAAAAGAATACAAGGAATAGACTTTGTGCATGAATATCAGACCAGGGAGTGATAGCCGAAACCTGTAAACCCTATTTCATTGATAATAACCATTCTTTGTCTTTAGCAGCAACTTCACTGTTTAGAACTATGGTCATCAAATCTATTTTGATCATTTTGATAAGAAGCTCAGTTCCCCTCCTTTTCTGATTAAAGATTTTGTTATTTCGTTCAATCCAAATGTTGTATATTGAGGAGGTAAGAGCCATTCTTTTTACTTTATGCTTGAATCCTTTACTTCACAAATTGGAATTGAACCAATCCAATAGATGATTCCAATCATAGCTTCTCCATCTGAAACAGAGCCAATTCACAATTCCATTACATACATCTTTAGAATAGTTGCATTCAAAAAACAGGTGGCATCTACTTTCAGGCTTGGATCCTGAACATAAAAAACACTGATTAGCTTGGATTATACCTCTCCGTAGCAGTTTGTCCTGGGTTAGGAGTCTATCTTGGACAGCTAACCATGAGTAAACGAATGCTTAGGGTAATTGAAACCCCCCATATAGTGATACACCATGGAACTTTATTTGCAGCAGGGGAAAGAGCATGATACAGGTCTGAAAGTTTGATTTTTGAGCAGCTATAACAGGACCTGAATAAGTCTTTTAGATTATCCAAACCACCACAACAAGCTATAGCCTTATCTATGGCTTTTAATAGCTGTTTCCATGTCCAGGAATCATTAACTTTCATTTCCACTTGCCATATATTCCTGCTTTTTAGATAATTGCAATGAATCCATAGGAGCTCTTTGTTTGTGTGAATATCCCATATGGTCTTTAGTGCTGCTGCCATATTCCAGATAGTAGAAGAGAAAATCCCCAATCCTCCATACAATTTACTTGTACAGACTATGTCCAATGAAACCAGAGAAGCCTTGGATGCTGATCATTTTTCCCCCAAAGGAACTTTCTGCAAAGCTCATCAACTTTTTGGAGTACTTTAATTGGTAGAATATAGCTAGAGGTCCAGTATATTTGCATACATGGTATCACACTCTTTATCACCTGTAATCTACCCGCATAGGATAGATTTTTAATTTTCAGGCAACTTTGGAAGTGGCTTGAGATTTTATTGAGAAGAGGATTGCAATCAATGTAGCTTAGTCTCTTGCACACTAGGGGAACACCTAAGTATTTTACTGACATTTTCCCTTCAGTGAACCCAAATAATCTTGAATGTCTTTTTTCACAGACTCATTCACACCACCATAGAAGATAGCACTCTTGCTAGGATTTGCCTCCAACCCAGAGACTTGACTGAAGTTTCTGACACACTGATGAAGTTTTTGGATAGAAATAAGGTCCCCTTTGCAGAATAATAGCAGGTCATCTGCAAATATTAGGTGTGTAATATTTAGTCTCTTGCATTTTGGATGAAATTTGAAATCTGAATCTAGCTTCAGGAGATCAAGACTTCTTGTGAGATACTCCATACCCAAAATAAACAAATATGGGGATAGAGGGTCTCCTTGCCTTAAGCCTCTTGCACCTTTAAAGTAGCCATGTAAGGAGCCATTGAGAGATATAGAGAATTTTAGAGATGATATGCATGTCATAATTCTGTTTATCAACATTTCTGGAAACCCCAGTCCTTGAAGCATCTCTTTTATGAAATCCCAACTTATTGTATCAAATACCTTTCTAATATCAATGTTAATCATAATTCTCGGGGAGATATGCTTGCTGCCATATTGTTTTTCCAGATCATGGGCTAGTAAGATATTGTTTGTAATATGCCTATCCTTTATAAAAGCACTTTGGGCTTCACTTATGAGATACCCCATGACTGCTTGTATCCTGTTATCAAGGAATTTAGATATGATTTTGTATTGGAAGTTGCAGCAGGATATTGGTCTGAAGTCAGAGGGAGTGCTTGGACATTGCTTCTTTGGGATAAGTGTGATAGAAGTGGAATTTATAGCCCCAAGCAATTTTCCTGAACTGAAGAATTCTTTAATGGCAAGTATAACTTCATCACCTATAATTGACCATGCAGACTTGAAGAAAGATGCACCATAACCATCTGGGCCGGGGGACTTGTTATTTGCCATGGAAAATACAACTTTCTTGATTTCTTCCTTAGTGACTGGAATTGACAGTTTTTTGACATGGTTTTTAGTTAAGCAGGGCCCATTCTGAATAATCCTAATGTTTGGAGGGGATGTAGAAACTGGAGTACTCATTATGTTCCTATAATAAGAAATGAACTCATTTATAATTTCCCCTCCCACAGTAAGTCTTTCTCCCATGCTATTATTGAGTACTGATACTCTGTTCTGATGCCTATTGCTTTTGATGATGGAGTGAAAATAACTTGTACATCTATCCCCTTTTATGCTCCAATGGATCATTGCTTTTTGCTGATAGAAGGATAGCTCACAATTTAAGAGCTTATTATACTCAGATAAGCAGTTCTTTTCTTGATTAATAAAAATTGGATTGAAGGGGTACTCCTGTCATTATTTATGACAATATTTATCCGGTGAGAATCATTTTAACCCTTATACTAACTAAAAAACTTAGTGCCAATTCAAAATGTTTGGCAAAGTGATCTTTCAGTTTCCTGCTGCACTATAGCTAATGTTTATTTATACCAAAACAAAGGGTTAGCTGGTTACTTTTTGCATGCATTTCTCATATCAAGTGACACAAGTCATCAACACTGCCAAAAGAAACAATTCATCCTCTCTGTATTACTATTATTAGTGGTATCTGCCAACTTCTACCTAAATTTTGATAAAAATGTAGAGAAACATGAAGATTTGAACTAGTTGGATTGCTATTTTGTTATATTTTTTAAGGTTCATAAAAGATACCTTGAAGCGTACAAGTTTGGAAATATAATTGATTTTTTAAAAGGAAATACAATTAAAGGATGTTAACTTAATGTACATACAAACTTAATTCACAATCCAACATCCTAAACTTTTGATAAATATTTGCCAACACCTCTTGGATAAATTAGTTCCTTTATATAAATGTTCCTACAGCAA